ATAAAAGTAAAATGGACTTCAATGAGTATAAAGTATTTATAAAACTTATGGTTGTACATGTACATGTGTGTATGAGATTTCAATTTAGGTCATTATAGTGAATCTGTTTCTGGAGATTATAAACCTCCTGCAAAAATTATACTAAGTACACATTTTCTAAAAGTCCTCTTTTAATATGTATTAATGCATTGAAAATATATATTTTTCTATCTGAAATAATGCCTAAAGTCCTTACCATTCACTCGCAGATCAATTGAGTAGGTGGAAATAACTTAATAAATGTATATAATTACAGAATATCATCATTTTTAGAAAAACGGAGGAAATTCGGATTAAAAGTTGGCGATGTTTTTACAGTGTTTTCAAACATGTGTTATGACTGTAGCTTTAATAAATGAGTTAAACAGATGAAAAATACAGACAATCTGACAATTTTACTTTGTGTTTTTCCAAGATAATTAAAAATAAAAGCATTGTTCAGTGTTCACCAACTGGGAAAAATACTGCCAAATTGGGAAAAACTGAACTCATTTAAATTGGGAATGGGGCCGAATTTCGGCCCCTGAGAAGGCACTGATAAATCCCTGTTATCTATAGGTGTATGTCTGTTAGGTCGATCAGGGTTAGGCATACACTCCTCAATATTACAGTATGAATTTAGCCAATTGAGACATTGCAATTGGGGAAAGGGATCATGCATCCAAGATTTTATTCACTTTTCCATGCAGAAAAAGTTCTCTAAGTGTGTGTCATTGCTTTCAGTGAGGAATTACCTTGTTACATGACAGAATTAACCGCCATTTTTGGTTTGCACGTGTTTATTTACGGTCACCTAAATGTTTGTAAAGTTCTATATAATTTATAAACGCTTATTTGACTAAGATGCATTCTAAAATTTAAAACCCATCAGCTCAGCTGAGAAAAATCCGGAAAAATATGTCGGAAAAAGACATTATTTTTATTTTCATGATTGGTGAAAATTAGGGTCGGCGGAATCGTAAACCAAGTGAAAAAAAAACTTTGGCCTAATTAGCTGCAATTAAGTAGTCAAATCACTTATTTTGTAGGGTCAAACTTTCGTGGTTTGAGGGAAAAATGTGGTTTGTTGGGATTTGATTACGTGGTTGAAGAAGCGCTGTGTTAATTATCTTGATTAGAATTTTTACACTTCGTGGGAGACATGAATTCGTGGGTTTCGATCGTCATACCACGAAAAAAAAAACAACAACAAATTAGTGATTTTCCTTTAATTCCAACTAAAATAATTTATTCATTGAGATCTTTTCTTCTGCCTGTGTGTATCTATGAATAAATATGTAAAAAATGAACCACCATTATACGGAGTGTTAAAAGTAAAATGTATTTGACCATATGTACTCTTGAAAAACCTATAGTGCCTCCAATAAACAGGTTCTATATCAAGTTTCCTCTACAAAAAAAATAGCTAAAGAAAAAAGTCTTGCTCTTTTCCCTAGAATCACACGATTTCCATATCAGTAATAAGATAATACATGTATATGCAAATTTTAATTTAAATAATTATTTAATTACACTGAATTTAACAACACTGATAATGATAACTTATTTGAAGAAAATTTTCTTCCTGGATTCTAGTCATTATTCTTTGAAGAATGTTTATAACTTTGACCTGAGTTCATATGAACCTTAGACTCAAACTTGTCACGTTTTTCCCACATTGAAGTAGAAGATGAATGTAATATCAAGAATCATCGAAATAAGAGCTACATGTAGAAAGATGTTTTTTAACACCTTCAACATCCTCACAACGTTAAGGGCCCTTGAGTTCACTCGTGGTCGTTTGGGCTCAGGACCCCTAGCGTTGGTACATTGTAGGATGCATTTACAAGTTCAATGGTCGATGTCAAACATAACATTACTGACAACTGAAAACTAGTGACAAGTGACATCCAAAATTGATAAGCAAAAAAGGCCAGTCTCATTTAAAAAATTTACAAATCAATTCGATCATAAAAATTTTAACATTTCGTTTTTAATTCCTACATCTGCATTCGCGGAATTCAAGGAAGCGCATTAGTGTCATGTTTTTATTTTAACCTTAAAGTTTGGTTTTCCAAGTTAAATCGTGGAATTATAAAACAGCAACACAGGTCCATCTTCAAAGTATATAAATAAAACGCAAGAACGCGAAAAAAGTTAATAAAGCCAAGATTAATGCTAGAAAAGCCAAGATAAAAGTTGGAAAAGCCAGGATTAAAGTTCATGAAGCCAAGTTAGCTCTAAAGTTGATATTACCAACTTTAAAGTTGGAATTACCAATTTTAAAGTTTGAAAAGTCAAAATTAAAGTTGAAAAAGCCAAGATTAAAGTTGGAATTACCAACTTAAAAAAATTACTTGCCACTAATATGCTTCTATAGCAGTTAGAACAAGATGTGTTTGTGAAACACTGATGCCCCCGTATAGCAACTTACATTGTGTAGCAAAGGTTAAACTTTCTCAAATGCAAATCAAATATGTTGGTACCAAAAGTAAGGCCTTGTCTCTAGGAATATACCTGTGAAATATGAATGCCCTAGCAGCAGCCACCATTGAATAGATATAGAAAAAGGTTAAAGTTTTTTCAAAAGTATGTCAAACATCAAGGTCAAGTCAAATTGTCAAAATTAATGGTGCCCAAGGAAAGGCCTTCTCCCAAGAAATACACAGGTGAAATATGAAAAACGAAGCAGCAATCGTTCAAAAGTTATGACCAAGGTTAAAGTTTTTCAAAAGTAGGCCAAGGTCAAGGTCAATGGATTACAATTGTTGGTATCCAAAGGAAGGTCTTGTCACAAGGAATAGAAATGTTAAATATGAAAGCCCTAGCACCAACTGTTCAAAAGTTCTGTCCAAGGTCAAAGATTTCCAAAAGTAGGTCAAGGTCAAAGGGTCAAAGTTGTTGGTATCCAAAGAAAAGTTTTGTCACAAGGACTACATATTTGAAGTATGAAATCCCTAGCACCAACCGTTTAAAAGTTATGGCCAAGGTTAAAGTTTTCCAATAGTACGTCAAACTCCAAGGTCAAGGTCAAAGGGTCAAATTTGTTGGCATCCAAATGAAGGTCTTGTCACAAGGAATACACATGTGAAACATAAAAGCCATAGCTCCAATGAATCAAAGGTTATGGGCAAGGTTAAAGACGGGCAAAAACTATATACCCCCGAATCTTCGATACGGGGGCATAAAAAAACTTTAAGAAAAACTCAGCAAAGTTGTTGATAAAGACATAACAAAGAACTCGCAGATATCCCTAATTATTGCGTAGCAATAAGACTGATTTTGCTTCAAATCTTACCAATAAAATACATTTACTTCATCATCTGTTAGATTGATTGATTGTATGTTCTTTAACGTCCCATTCAAGTCATCTGTTAGAAGGTTTTGTTAAATAACACATGCTTTTCATTCATATTATAAAACCTTAATTTTACTTGCGTTGCTGATGGGGGTTGTATTACATGTACCTCATGCATACATAATCGCGTTATTTTCAAACTACTGTTAGGAAGAGTTAAGTCAGTATTCTTACAAATATGTCCAATCTTGGGGCCTCATCCCTCATCAATCACAGGGAAATGAATGGATTTCAGTATTTTGGTAAAGGGTATATTGCTTATTATAACCACACAAACAATTTATTAATGTAACTAAGGAAGAAGAAATTTTCAGATAATAATTATATGTTTCGTATATCACTTACACAGCCCTTTCAAGGTATCCAGCACTGAGCTCATTGCAAAACAATGTTTCTTATATGAACAAGAAGATTTTAAAGATATACTTTATTTCTAATTCATGCTTCAATTTACTTGGCCCTACCATGGAGCTTGGGCACCAAACCCGGGGGAAAGTTATTGATCATCTTTGATAAGGAGTGGAGAGAATACTAGTATTACAAATACGGAAACTAGCCTTAGCTAACATTACATACTGAACTTAAGACATAAATTTCAAAATGGTGAGTATTATTGCTAATTATACTTGCAAAAAGTTTGACTCTAGATATCTCATTTTGAGATTTTTGAAAATAACATACTTGTAGTACGTTTTGAATTTAGAGGTCGTTAAGTTGCTCATTATTATCTTCCATACAATTTGTCTACTTGTGCTTAGAAGTACAGTGTATAAATAAGTGAAAAATGATTGAGATTTTGGTCTCACACCTCAGGCCCCGGTAGGAGGATGCGCGGATCTAGAGGGGGGTTGGGGGTCCGGACCTCCCTGAAATTTGCAGTTATTAAATATATATATATATATATATATATATATATATATATATATATATATATATATATATATATATATATATATATATATATATATATATATATACTTAAGCAAATAAAATATGGCTGTGGACCCTTCCTAGAAAACGTGGACCCCCTCCCACCACCACCACGAAGAAATAGGTCTTTTTCACGTTTGGGAATGGACTTTACTTTTTTTTTCTTTTTGCTTGTCAAGAAATTTTCTGGGGATGATACGTTTAGGAAAGGAGTTTATTTTTTATTTATTTTTTTGCTTGTTTGTCAAGATATTTCTGGTTTGGAAATTTTTTGACCGGGCTGGACCCCTTCCCTTGGAAAAATAACTGGATCCACGCCTGGGGAGGATAAATTCTAAATGTTTGTTCCTATTTACCTATACATGTAGATGGTATGTACAAGTATCAAAGATAGGCTGAAAATGGTGCAGTTAACTCGAGGAAGATTTTTAAAGGTTTCAAACGACGCAGTCACACAATGATTGACAAATTTAAAGCAGATATCAATAGCAACCTGAGTGATTCTGATGATATAGGAATGGGTAAATGTGTCTCTGATAAAAACAAACTCTTTTCTACTATTATATAACAGTAAAAATACAGTTTTTCCTCGCCAATGAAACAGTAATGTGCAAAAACTAACACTTATGTACTGCTCACTTGATTTCAAATTTGGTTCTACGACTTCTGTAATTACAAAAAAGAATACGTTACAATAATTCAAAAATGGTTTATTGTTTTATTAAGTGTAATATAAACTGTATTTACAATCTTTGTAATTGTTAATTATTAACAACACTCTGGTTCCTTTGGGAGATCATAACAGACACATCCTTCTACAACATATTACTTTTAGTTTCGGTTTTCAAATTAAATCAGTGCAGAATTCTAAACTCTAACATTGGAAAATTCATGTTCTAAGACAAAAAAGTTATCAATATTCAAGACAGGAAGACATCCATTAAGTAATTAAGAGAGTCACGGGAAAATTCTCCTTTTTCCCTGAAAGTACAATGAAACTAACGTCATTTGAATCACGTGACATCATATTCTGCATAAAATTAGTCATATACTTATAGCTATCACAAAATTGTAAATAAACTTTCTATATATTGTATGTATATATATCTATTCATTTGATATTAGCACAAGGTTTCTAGATACCACCAATTTCTCCTATATTCCACCAAAATAAATCGTCCATAAATGGCAGAGAAATACTGATAATATTCTGATTATCACACACAAAAGAAAATTGATAAAGTCAAATACATATAAAAATAAAAAACGAACAATCCAGTTAACAAGGTGAAGGACAAATGCATCCCATTTCAAATGAAATGGTTAAAAGTTATACATCAGTATCAACGACAGAGGATAACAGGATAAAGGAAATTCTCTTATAAATATTTCAGCAATCAACAACAAATCGTGCGTCAACTGTAAATTGAACACCGTTACAAAATTGTTCTAAACAGTTATATTTTGTCACAGTTTATTTGCCGATAGACGGCGTGCTAGTTGGGTATGAATGCTTACGCTTTCCAAGTTAACTAATTTATAATATTAAAAAAGGGTGGCCATGTGTTATATGAACACTGAAAATGTTTTAATAGTGTATATTAAACACTTCAGTTCTTTCCAAGTCAAATTAAAGTATCGAGGATGATTACAAATGTATTATGTTGCTCACAAGTATACAGTCACTGAGCTTATAAATGAGACAAAAGTTCTCTGATTGGAAATGAGAGCTGTTATATCACTACACGTGATCGCCTCTTTGACCAATGGAATGTATTGTACTATCAACTCCGTCGATGAGTAAATGTCAGTCATCCACTGCGTTCAATGAGGTACGAGTTATCAAATCATGAGTTTAACTTCCCGTGGCTGGAATTCTGAATATATTATATTCAGTATACTCTGTTCCGGTAATAATTATATAGAAATTAGCAGATAACGGAAGCTGATGACGTCATTGGTAATATTTTGTCAACAACAAGACCAATCACAATTGTGCGGTTATTCCGGTAAAAAATTGTGCAGTAATCTGGAAAATTCTGGAAAAAAAGAAAACAAAACGTAAAAAGAAAATCAAACAAAGTGCTCACGAGTATCGATGCATATACAATTGTAGTTGCACACCGTCTAAATATAAGCCATCTGAATGTGCACATGCAAGCAAATTCCCAATGTTTCTTTTTTTAAATAAATTTTCCTTGTCCAAAATACATCGAATCATCGATGTGACAGATCTGCAGGTCAGAAACATCCTGTGTATTGATTATAAGCATGTCCTGCACAAGGCTTGACCTTTACTTCAGAGGTTATGGATTTCAAAAAAAAAAAAAAAAATGGAAATGAATTTATTACACTGTGTTGCAAAAACGTGCGTGCAAATTGTCCTGGAATAAAGAAAACTTTCAAATATATAATAAATTTTCAATATACATGACAAATTCAGCTTCTGGGCCTTAAATTTTCAACCTGTGGTCATGAAATTTGAATTTTTAAGAGGCCATATATATTCTTCTGTAATAAACATGCTTTAGAAACAGTTTTACTGTTAGATTTTTTAGAGTAAAGATGTTCAAAGTTGTCCTAATTTTCAATTAATACGATAACCTTATCCCCAAATTTTGAGAAGGTACCCATCTGTCATTAATTAAATTTTTTTCTTTAGAAAAATTTACCTACAACGTTTCCAGGAGTAGAGAGGAAGATTTTTCGAGAATGTACAAATTTTAAGAGTTTTTGACTCACATCTCAGGCCCAAAGTGGAAGGGAACATGAAATTCAAAATTTTTTGCATCGCTTCACCCATAGCTGTTATAATATCAAGTGAAGGAGATTAGCTCATTGGTTCGGTAAGAAAAGGTGACAATGTTCAAACGTTTACGAACATAGGAAACTGAATATGTTATGTACATGTACCTATCCTACAGTGTAGATCATTCACATTTAAGGTTGCCCTATTTAGTTTTAAATTTGCACAGAAGATTTTTTTTCTAAGTTCAAGGGCCTGACTCTGTCAAAATTCATCGGACCACGACCAAATTCGAACTTGACCTGTATTTTCTTGTAAAATACCTGCATCTGCAATTTCATACATACAACCCTACAAAAGTAAGAGAGCGGAAACTGGAAATTTCCTGAGGGGTGGAACCAAAACCACCAAAATTAACGCAATCTTTAAAAATCTTCTTTACTCCTGGACATCAAGCAGTCAAACTGTTGGCATGATTGTAATAAGCATTGAGCCCTCTGCCAAAATTGTGAAATTCATGGAACTAGGTCAGGGGTTCTGGCGCTAGGGCGGGGCTACATAGATCATTTATTGAAAGTGCATTATTTCTTTGAAAATCTTCTCTTTTCCTGGGTATTAAACAAACAAACTAAGTACATAGTTATCATGATCAAGGGTGCCTCTTCAAAATTGTGAATTTTATGGCCCCTGGGTCAGGGGTTCTGGTGTTAGGGCGGGGCTCTATTGATTATGCAGTGAAAATGCATTAATTCATTGAAAATCTTCTTCTCTGCTCTTGGGTATTATTTGAACAAACTAAGTACATGGTTATGATAAGCAAGGGTGCCTCTTCCAAAATTGTGAAATTCATGGTCCAAGGGTTGTGGGTTTTGGTGAAAAGGGGGGCTCTATTGATAATATAGTGAAAAAGCGTAATTTCTCTAAAAATATTCTTTTCTGCTCCTGGTTATAAAGCAAAGAATTGTGAGTTTCATGGCCCCTGGATCATACGTTCTGGTGGTATAGTAAAATGTATTAATTCTATTAAATAATCCTGTCTGCTCCTTATTGCTGAGCAGATAAACAAAGTGCATAGTTATGATGAACAAAGGTGCTTCATACAAAATTTTTAAAACTTGTGGTCCCAGGGCCAGGGGTTCTGGTGTTTCTCGGGGGGAGGGGGGCTCTATTGATAAATAGTGAAAATGTGTTAATTCTTTGAAAATCTTCAAATAAGTGCATAGTTATGATGATGAGGGTACCTCTTCTAAATTTGTGAATTTCATGACCCTGGGTCATGGGTTCTTGTGTTAGGGTAGGTTGTGTTGAATCTGTAGTGAAAATGCATTATTTCTTAGAAAATCTTCTCTGTTCCTGGGCATACTGGAGGCAAATAGAATAAGAGTCTTAATAAGCAAGGGTATTTTTACCTGATTTTTGAACATCTGGACCATTTGCTCAAGTGTTCTGGTCCTGGCCAGGCCTCTATTTAATTTATTTAGTATTCTACTGAGAGAAGTTATTTCCCTTTGCTATTCACTTTTGATAATTAATCACTGTAAATAATGTATTTGAAAGGTAATAATAGAATAAAAGAATTATGCAAGAATTTTTATTGTATAATACAAAAAGTACTTTCATAGTTTTAATGATCAGGTGGACTTGTAAATAAGACTTGACAAAAATAACTTATCTTATTGAATGTTCTTCAAAAACCCAGCCGAAATAGACTGAAAAATTGCCGACCCGGCTTTAAACAACAGTCATCAATCAAAGACCAAGAGAGGCCAATGTGAGAGGTTAAAATATGAGGTTAGAAATAGAACAGAAGCACTGATAGTTTGTTAATAGTCTACATAGTGATAGTGATAAATGGGGGACAGATTAGAACTTAATTTATGAGTTGTTACTGAATACCAGACTTATTATTTCGTTGATCCTGACCATCCTATTTCTCTTGATTTTGGGCAACAAAGCTTCTTCTATCGGTTTAATTTAAACTCTGTGGATTCTCTAAATTGTGGTATAATAAACTCAGGTGACCGTGAAGGCCCTTGGGCCTCTTGTTTCAATCGTAAAGTAAGACAAAGATAACTAATGACCATCCACAATTGGAAGAAATGTATTTTACCGGTAATTTATTTACTTATTTTAAAGGTTAACATCAAATTATTCTTGAATGGTTGCAATGAAAGCAAATTATCCTCTTCAACCAATGAATGATCATTTAGTGCGACCATTATACTCTGAACAGAGTTAAGTGCAATTTACACACAATTGTTGACACGGACATCAAGCGAAGTTCGGAATTTAATTATGGGTGTGACATACATCTAAAGGAAGGCATGGCAGAGAATGAGAGGCATGTCATTTTGAATCAATAAGCGTATAATGTCAGAATCTACCAAAATTGTCAGCATTACGATAGCTTCGTGTAATCACATATAAAAACTAGAGGTACTGTACATGTGAGCACTGAACTCACTAAATGATACCCCCGCCTCCCATATGATTATAATCATTATGGCAAATCAAGAGAAACTCTCTTTTTGCAAAATAAAACTTATGTTATTTCTTATTCCACGTGTCAGAGTTTCATTATATATATGTATTTAATATGAAAAAACTAATAAAATCGTTTGATAAAAAAGTTATGTACCGCTGTAATCTATTAGACCATCTCCATTTAGATCCGCCTCCTTGAACATTTCTTTAATATCCTCGTCTGAAAGATTCTCACCAAGTCGCCTCATGGTGTACCTCAATTCATGCTTATCAATATACCCGTTTCCATCCATGTCAAACACTCGGAATGCCTCCAGCTGCTTGTCTGATTTAGACGATGATGACGACGTCGAGACTCCATCAGCGCCCTCTACTCCGCTGTTGTGGGTCCACCGCCTCATCATAACTACAAATTCGTCGAATTCAACGAATCCATTTTCTACAAAAAATATTATTAATAATAATATACTGTAATTTTTCTTAAATGCTACACAGGTACTACATTTCATTATTAAAAAGAGTGCATATTATCTTTGTAAATTAATTGTTACATTTTCACCATAGCTTGAACTTTCAGGGGAGATGACAAGCTTATACTCGCGTCACAAAGAACTGTCAATCAGTGATACTATGCTGTAAAATTCACATCACAACAACCCTTTTGCATATTTGAGAGTTAAATCGAGGAACTATCAATAAGTTAGGCTTATATTGTCATCTGGCTAATAGAGAAATACTCTGAAGTCCAAACTACATGACTGCACGTATCAGTGAAAGTTTCGTCATGATAATTATTTTATTATATTTACTTGGTTCTACCCATTGAACAATATGCAATCTTTGGACATAGCTTTGAAACTTTGATCTGCAAAGCAATACGTAAAATGAAATTTCAAAACCACTTTCATCTTTTATCAAGTAAAAGGATTTTTTTAGCAAAGACTGGGTTATTTTAGACATTTTACCAATTTTAAACCCATTAAATTATCCTTACCATTAGTGTCTGCATTCTTTATCATGTCTTCCACTTCCTCTTGGGAGTAATTATGACCGAGGGTCCGTAAAACTCTTCCTAATTCGTCGCTGGAAATTTTGCCATCATGGTTTTTGTCAAAAAGTTCAAACGCCTGTTTCATATCTGGAAAATGCAATTTCATAAAAATGCATAATACAGTATACTGATCCGTCTTGTGGATCCTAATTTCTTTTATCGGCAATTACAGTTTGCACCGAATGCTGCCTTGGAGTTGAACCAAAGCAAAGGGCTATTTTTTTCTAATCTGAAGATAATTTTATTCTACATCACGATTGTGAAAGTTTAAGAACAGATGATACATACAAACTTTCTTCACAAATCAAGAAAATAACAACTAAAGTCATGTTTATGTAACTAAAATGAATAAGCTTTACCGCATAGATTTTAATTTTTCATTCAAAGTTTCACGATTATGTTCAACAAAATAAAGAAAATGTGTATAGCTTCATATGGACGACAGCAAAAAGATTGGATTTTGAACATGAAAGAAGGTTTACTATTATTCTTAATATTTTAGAAATATGATATTTGCAACATTTACAACCCTAAATCAGAGGTACTTGTGGACAGGACCCCCCCCCATATTCAACCCGGGGCTTGTTGGACATTTTTTTCACAAAATTAATTATATTTATTACACTTATTCATCCTGTGTACCACAGGAAAAAATCGTGAAAACCCCAAAATAATCGTTCCACTCAAAAATACCACTATACATTATAAGGGAGAAAGGTATGCCACTCCGGTTTGTTTACGTTGTACCCCCACTGGTCTTTCTGGGTTTAAAAACATGCATTTATTTTATTTTAACCTAAAATGTCGGTTCACACTGTCTCTACATTTATATTTCTGTCTTAGTTCATGCTATCGGATTGACTCTGCATCTCGTAAGAATCCAACAATTAATCCTTAAACACCATTGCAGTCAGTGCGTTGAAAAATCCTTAGGTAAACGCAACGGAAGTGCATAGAGAATATATTACTTAATATGATAACATCCGAGAGAGATTATTACGTCAGACCAAAACTCTCTCGGACGTTATCGTAAGAAGTGATACATTCTCTATGCACTTCCGTTGCGTTTACCTAAGGATTTTTCAACGCAGTGACTGCAATGCTGTTTACGGAGAAATTGTGGGATTCTTACGAGATGCAGAGTCAATCTGATGGCATGAACTAAGACAGAAATATATGCAGAGACAGTGTGAACCGACATTTTAGGTTAAAATAAAATAAATACATGTCTTTAAACCCAGAAAGACCAGTGGGGGGTACAACGTAAACAAACCGGAGTGGCATACCTTTCTCCCTTATAATGTATAGTGTGGTATTTTTGAGTGGAACGATTATTTTGGGGTTTTCACGATTTTTCCCTGTGGTACACAGGATGAATAAGTGTAATGATTATAATTTGTAAAAAAAAAAAAAAAAAAAAATGTCCAACAAGCCCCGGGTTGAATATCCGAGGGGGGGGGGGGTCCTATCCACAAGTACCTGTGCCCTAAATAGGTCCAAAAATATATATCAATCTCTGTTTGCATCATCTGTTCTTACGACGACTAGTGTCTGGGATGCCCACTGCCCGATTCATAAAATTTAGCTTAAAGAGGCTGGGGGGTTGTGGCCATTTTTAGACTATATTGGTCTCCTTTAGAAGAAGAGCTCCATATGAAGATATAGAAAATGATCAAATTTTAAAACTAAAATTTTTGAAATTTTTCTTTGTCAAATGATAGTTGACACCTTAAGATGTCATATCTAAAAAATTAAGTTAAATCTGGTGGTTAATTTGTGGTTAATTTGTTGACCCCCCAGCCTCCTTAACTATAACAAGTACGGAATTACAAACCATGTGTTCTTAAAGCTTTAGCCATAACTATTATATACAGGCTGCTAAGAGCAAAGTGTTGTTTGGATGAAATTGCTGCATAAAAAGAGTACTTAGGTTTTGGCACAGGATATACCCTTTGTTTATTTGCAACTAAGCACGAAACTGTCAGATTGTTTTAATATTTTTTTTTAATCATTTTTCCTAATTCCAGAGGCGTCGTCACATTACGATTGAACATTATAAGACACAAGAAAAACAATCAGTAATTCGGGTGTTGAGTACAATGAGTAAAACATGAAAAAAAAAAACTCGGAGTGATGCAAACATGTCAGATTAAGAATGCAGCAAGTATGTACATAAAGTGTACTTGAAATACTCTATTTCAAATATGACCGAGATATTCGAGAAAGAATTCGAACACAACACACACAAAAACGTAATACCTTAAATAACTTTACATGTATTTGAAATAGAGACGATTTTTTCAGTCTGCAACGTTTCAACGACATATGAGATGTGTCTGTTTACGTATTACGTAACAGTGCACGCATACCCCCAAAAGATCAACAAAAGTACATAAATCAAAACTCCTTACGTTTATCTTAATGAGATAATGTGTTTATCGGACTGACGGACCCGATAACCGGATCATCCCTTGATCAATAACATCGGGCACAAGAGACAAGGAGAGTCTACTTGCAGATTCAGTTTGCAGTAGCTTCACATGATACTTTTCATCCCCCTCAATTTCTTTATTTATCAGGATACATGTGTTCCATCCTATGTGAATTAGTACAAGTTAAAAACAAAGATAAGACCAAGCAAGAAAATCACGCACAAAGATATACACTTTGTATTTATTTCGTATTCTAAGAGTTTTAATATGATTGGTCGTGACCGATTGAGATTCCCCACGACTCTTCATTATTTATATGCTCTGTCATAATATAGTTCGGGGGAATATCCAAGTATATAAAATGATAAGATATAATTGCAAATTTTCAAGAATTTAAGGGCAAAGCAATATTGAAAAAAAAACTTTAAAAAAATTAATTAAAAAAAAAACAAGACCCTTTTTAAGTGTCAGAAGTTGACTATCAAACCATATTTAAAGATATTACGTCTCTTAGAGACAATAATCCCCCCCCCCCCCCTCGCCAAAACGATTATTTCCTTCGTATTACATGCACAATCTGATAAACAAGTTACAAAACTGTACAAAAACAAACATAATTTAAGACATAAACTATAAAAAATGAACCTGCATTTTTGACAAATAACACCCTAAAACTCCATGACATGTGTTTTAAAGGTAGGATTTTATACTATGGAGCCATTATTATGGTATAAATCTTAAATATTTTGCTTGTTTACACCAAGATAATCGAAATATATGACATTTTGCTCTGGACATGTGGTTTGACATCTCACATTTCTAAATGCCAGACCAATTAAATGACAGAGTAGTCTCGCTTTTCTCAATAAATATAGGTCTAGAAGAAACTATAAAAGCGTTATATTTTTTTAATTGCTTTCTGTAGAAGACATTGACTTCACGTGCGAGAATGCTTAGGTAATCTTAATGAAAAAAAAAATATTTATGTGCTTTTGGTGAATATTTCAATATTTATTCCCTACATTTTTTTACCCATCTATATAATCGTAAAAGTACTGATTGGAAATTAAATCCCTTTGAACATTGTGTGCATATTCTAGAATATCGGCTAATCGACCGCCTGATACTTGCAAGTTCTGAACCTCAAAATAAACTGGGATTACAAGCTGCAATGACTCATCACCATCGCTCTGCTAAGAAATTTTCTAGGAAGTTTACTTAGAAGCGATTCCGCCCATCTTTGTGAACTGTGGTGGATCAAAGATTTTTAAATATTGGGGGCTGGTATAGGTTAATGAATGAGGTTTGGGCTCCAACATTTGAGAAATATATCGATCGTAATATGAATTACGGAATTATGCCTTCTGCGTAATCATTCTAAATAATAAACATCAAAAGTTGTATCATCATGATTCCAGAAGTGCGTGTACATTAGTTTGACAATTATATATTATGACTTATTTTCAGTCTATCATGATAAGTCTGCAATAAGAGAAATTAACGGTATATTTTGAAAGCAAAGTTATAAGTTCTGTGGTAAGAAAAAAAAAGAAAATCAAGATTGTAATACACAGGATATATAATAATGTACCATAATTTAGAGAAAAAAAAGGTTAAATGGAAAAACAGAAGAGTCGAACACTTTGAATTTCATTAAATTATTGAACTTGAGATAATCTTCGTGTACATGTACATATTTTTTTTTACAATTATCAATAAGCCACACTTGGAGTATGCGTAACTAGTATTATTACATACATGTACAGTTTCAATCAACTCACACTGCTTAATTTTAATGAGGACATTGTAAATTTCAAAAATATCACAACACGGAGCAATTCGCAATACATTTGCCAAATATGCAACAATTTGACTTTCGCAATTTTTTTTTTCAATTTCATTCGCCAATCATCTTTTTTTCCATACACATGTATCATTCTTCTGCCGACAAAACAACTAAATATGAAAACTGAGGAAAATGTCTTTAACTCCCACGTCCACTTACCATGGTTTTCTTGGCTGGTAAAACCGTTGGCCATCTTCTTGTGGGGATCGCCATTTTTCGTGTCCATTTCGTTTTTCGTCCGAGCTATTTTTTTCTTGGATTTCGGACTGAGGCGAGGAAGCTTTTTGCTTTTTGAAGACTGTAAAAGAAAAAAAAATCAGTTGTCTCTAAATTTAATGGGTTTTTTTTCATAAGTAAAAGAGGGACAAGTTGAAGGAAACATCATACAAACAAAAAACTGGATGCATGGATTGGTATACAATTTGGACTTGTTTTGTTGGCAAATGATGCATATATCAAATCCCAAGAAATTGTAAACTTTCTATGATGTTCAAATTTCTTCCTTTTTGCTACCACCCTAATAAATCTTTACATTTTTCTATCACTTTTTAGAAACTTATTTGGAAACTTGGAAAGAAGATTGAAATTTACGCGACTAAACTTTTTCATTTTACTTCTATAAACAAATATTTTGTTGTTATTTTTTATGTTTTTAAAAAAGTTTGTATTATCTAAGCTGTAAAGGTAATAAATAATTTAAAATGCTCGTGCCAACGTCAAGACTAAATCAAATCCGATGGTAACATTCGAAAAATACAATCCTGAATTACTTGTGTACCTTTCTGTAATGTAAGAAGATAAGAATAGGTAATTTGACCAGAGATGAATGGTTTTCATTCACGGTTAAGGTCAAGGCCAAGGGCACGATTAACCTCGACTGTAATATCTGACCTAAATATATACCTACGTGTATCTATCATTGGGGTTTAAATCTAAGAATGCAAAGGTCAAACAAAACAGAGCTAATGGCTACAGCTTCAAGAATCGTTGCCACAGACAGACAAACAGATATAATCAATCTCTAGAGTTTGCTTCGCAATCCCGCGGAAAAGCAAAATTCACTTTTAATAATCACATTACTCAATGAAAAAAATAAAATCAATCATCGTGTGTCTTGATTTGAATTAGCCTTTCATTCAGTTAGGGACCTTGAAGCGAGTGGTTAAGTGCTCAATTCATCATACATGTATGTATATCTACAAATAAATCAGGGATCAACTGCGAGCATTTACAATTCTATTAAATTTCTTTAGGGATGGTTTGAACTGTCAAAACTGCCGACGGCTCTTCGATTTTAGCCACTACATTGCTAGCTTTTGCACACAGTCATAAAGGAATTGGCATTTAAAAACAATATAATTAAATTTCGCACAATATATATACACCTACAAAAATTCGACTTTTTCATAGTTGTTAATCATTCAATCCCACTCAGCAAAATATATTTCACAGTAAATTGAAGATTTCAAACCTTTTACAATCACTATAAATACCTTTTTTTATTATTGAGGAACTTTTTTTCTTCATAAACTTAAGCACATAAATTAGTGCAGTGAATCTCTAGCGAACGGATTTTGTTTATAATACGAAACTGCTAATCAACATCGTATTGTGATTTTTATTAAGTTTTATGACTGCTTATGCTGGTGTTCTATAAACTCCATCCCGTCTGGTAACCGTTACTGCGTTACGATTTGCATCACTAGACCACGGAAATTACTAGCAAAGGTCTGCACAGCTTGAAGGAATCATTAGATACTGGCTTTTAGCTTCACAATGTTTACATGTAGGTGCTAAATCAAGATGAACAATCGCCAAGTCGAGAGACAGAGAGAGAGAGACATGAGCGAGAATGCGCTTTTGGTTTTTTTTTCATTCTATTCATAAAATTAAAGTTATTAAAAATATTTACCTGCTTCATGGAAGTGTCTAGGATACAAATGTATTTTATATCTATTTTAAAAATTCAAAGTCAACAAAAATTACAAACATCCCATTAAAAATTAAAAGTTTTCATCAATATATTGGTAGAAGAGATAATTATTATTACATAGCCAATAATATTGAAACCTTAAATCGATTATAGATATTAGTTAAAGAATATTATCGTTGACTCCTCATATTTGACAGAAAACTGGGTCTAAGTGCTACTGCCGTTCAAAGGATTGTGCGAGCGACTTCAAATAAAATAAATCTTCAGAACAGACAGCAAATTTAATAATTAAGAAGATAGATTAATTGGATTTAGAGACCTCATTTCAATACATTGATGAAAGTATCATGGTGGCATAACCATCGTTATTTTTAACAACGTTTTGTGATAATACAACATAAAGAGAGAGAAAAAATCTACTGCAAGGACGTGTTTGATACAAATTTCCTTTCTATAGAAAATATAAAGATTTCTTGTATGACGGTGCAGAAATATTGACTTTTTTTTTAACTTCACGCGACCAAAAAAATAAACTCTGCAATTAGTGACGTTTTCTGAGGGAGATAGGATTCTCTGCTGTCAATGAACATTCTCAAATTCCATGACGTCATTGCTATCTTGTTTGAAAGAAAAAGGAAGCTGAAATAAAGGCAAGCCATGAAGAGTGGGATGCCAGCTAAAAGGATATTTTTCTTGGAGTGGTTTTTTACATCCACTTTATAATTCAGAAATCTATTAAAATACATCGCGTGTCAAATTAAATTGATTCAAACACAATGAACTAATAGTCAACGAAATACACGTGACGTCACACATAGCGTATATGAGCTAATATCCACATCAATTGCCTTCAGATAGCGACCATTTTGTCTATGTCCGACTAGCTGTTCGTCCGTCTGAAAAGACACAATTTCGCACAAAATACCTTTTACTCCCTTCTGGAAGATGAAATTATATAATTCCCTGATTCATAAAGAATGACATTTAGGCCTAATACAACCGCAATTACCGCGTGATTAGTCGTGCATACACCTCTATTTATACCCAGTATCCAAGGCATCTAAGAAGTCTGGGTAATTTTTGTAAAAGGCTAGAAAACAGTTAAAAGCACCGAGTTATTTTTTTAAGTCGCAATCGTGTCTAAAATATTCCCCTTGTGTGCTGTCTATATGTGCATCTGCTAAAAGGATAAGAATGAAGAAATATATAGGTATTGATCTTTATTCAACAAGTCTAACATCGCTATGCTGCAATTTTTGTAGATTAATCGTAGAGAAAATAATTGATTACCCAAAATAGATAAAGAAGTTTAACAAAAACAACTGACTCGTTTTTAAAGGCATTCACTGTCAAATGTACTCCCAAACACCTTATAGATGAGAGCCCAAATTCAAAACATATTTGCAAGAATACGATTGACCCGTCTCTTCAGGAAGTACAACCAATATTAATCAGTATATTAGGTACTTTGCTTAATATTAATGGGTATTTTCATACCCATTCTGTTTTAAAACTAAAAACAATATATCAAAGAGTGTATAAATTCGGCTACGAATAATCCATCCATAGAAGCAACTACATGTATCCAAGAACAATCAATTTATAATGACATGGTATCAAGTAATGACGACTTCATGGGGGGGGGATATCATAAATTTAACAAACATGAACAAACAAAATAAAGCTAGCGAGACTTCAGTTCTGTGCCCCAAAGCCTGAAATGTTAACAGAGCATAAACCAAAAGGAAAAAAAAATCCTCCAAAAGCCGTTACAACATTAAAGTTATCAGATTCCCCAACGTTACCCCTATTGGATTAAAAAAGTTTCGAACTCTTGCAAAAGCTTACCTCATAGACTGAAGAGAAATCTTTAGTCATAGTTACTATTATGTGTTCCTATCACAAAATATTCTTTATAGAGATTTTTTAAAGTTATGTAACTCTTGTTCCTGAAATAGGGAGGAGCCATTAATGACGTCATTTCATTCATCTCTCAGGAAGATTATCGATTTTTATGTAAATATCGCGATGAAAAGATCGCCAAAGAGATTCCGTGAGTAATAATTGTCTTCAATTAGATTCTGACATAGTGCTATTTTCACGCATTACCAGCAGCCAGACAGGAACTCTAATTACAGTATTATATAAAAAAAGTGCTGGATTATTTTTGGAAGCATAGCTTTGTAACATCATTATATATGTTTGTAATTCTTTACATTTTTCACATTTTGGTATACACCACTCTTCATTATGCTTATTAAGATATAAGCAAAACCCTAATGCATGATTCGTTTATTAGACTTCTTTTGATTTACATGTACGTTAGGCTTCCTATTGTCAAAAATCTGTATCATTTATCATAAATCTGATTCGCACAATGAAACGCTTACTAAAATAAAACGTTTAATGAGATGTACGCAGAAAAAGCCCCGGGGTATGATGCGACGTCAGCCACTCTTCTAGAGAGGAAGGTTGCGGGTGATATTTTGCTTCCTATGATAAAAATCATTATCTTAATCAATCTCCCGTAAAACAATTTCCAAAGAAAACAGATGATAAGCAACCCAGTGCGTGAACATGTGATACAAGGTCAATGTCTCGTAGCTTCAAAAATTACCTCTAATAGTCCGACTAAAAATAAAACTTCTGATGTATTTTAGAGCTAAATACCAACGATTAGATTAAGTACGGCTGAAAAATAACTTCCAGACGTAGGAAAATTGGTCAGGATTATAAGAAAATTATTAAAACCGCAAAAAATTCGAACATCAATAAAGGTTCTTAAGTACATTGCAGAGGTGCATTCGTCAATCGAAATCGGCTTGTATTCCCAATGAGGGAGGTTCTCGTTTTCAATTGAAAGTTTAGTTGTTGTTTTTTTAAATCGTACTCAAAGGATTCATGTAATCTTTGAATAAGAAAATAACTGTTTTTATTTTGATCTAAACTAGCGGAGAAATAACTTAAAACGAAAACTTTTAATTTCGAATTCAAATACATGTATGGGTTGATGGTCCTCGCATGCTTTGTTTACATAATATACATGTTCCTTGAGGGATAAATGTATTTTCTTAGCCTGATAATCTCGGCGATACGATAGTAATCGTCTATAGATAACTTTCGCAAAGATGAAGCATATTAAAAATTTATATCATGAGAAAGTATAGAAAAGGAAACTGACATTCGCCTTTTACACACATCAACAGACAAATACAGGGAACCCAAACATTCTTGATGAGTCAAGAGACAAATGAACAAGAAATGACCTATTATTAAGCTGCAATAACAGTCAACCCCAAATACCAAATAAATCCTAGCACTACAGATTTAAAGGCAAAAAGATTTCTTTATCAGTCATCAAAGTA